CCCCATTCTAATCCCTCACCCCCACCCCATTCATGCCCCCACCCCCCTGTTGTCCTTGACCACTGGTTAGGCTCATATGTGCGCACATAAGTCCTTTGGTTGATCTCTCCTTTTTATCTCCATCCTCTCTTTAAGGTCCAATAGTCTGACCCATGGCTCCTTATCTCTGGGTCTGTTTTTGTTCATCAGTCTATGTTGTTCACCATTTCCCCTAGATGAGTGAGATCATGTCCTACTGGAAATATACTTATAAGAATCAAAAATGAGACAAGCAATAATCGTTATGCTAAAAAGTATATGAATCAGTCTGTAGTGAGTTTCTTTCTGGGTCACCAGTTCTTTTGAGACCCAATTTCAATGTCCAACAGTTCCTTATGTGTACATGTCAGCAATGATATTTCAGTTCTGGACACACTAGAGGCTTTTAAAAGACTGAAAGTGGTGGCCCCAAGGGGAGCCGAGAGTCTTGGTCCCTAGTGCCCTCTTCCCAAAAATGAAGTAACTCACTCACCCATTAGTAGAAATCAGAAGGTCTGATGATCTGGCACTCTGGTGCTGCTTGGGAGTCTGAAGGCCTTGATCGCTCTAAGACTAAAAGTCGTTAAGGGTAGGGGAGGAGTGAGGGGAAGGGAAGCAAGAAAACTTCCCTTCTGGATATCCCCTAACAAGCCGCCAGAATGAAAGGTGAACATGGTGGATGGTGGATGCAGGCAGGCTAAATAGCCATCTCAGAAGGTAATTAAAGAAAAATGAATTTATTTAAGGGGAGGGGGTGGGGGACAGGAGAACCCAAGGGAAGGGCTGCACAGCACCCAGCCACGGGGACCTTGGGTCAATGAGAGCAGCACCCAGGAGCTGGCGTTTCATCCTTATAAGCAGTCACTGGTGGGTCTAGGGGCTGAGCTGGCGGCTTGGAATGCTCAAGTGTGATCAAGTGCCTTTAGGACAGTTTCCAATTCCTTGTGTGGACTGATCTGACTCCTGGTGCCCTGCAAGTTTTTCCTGGTATTTTGTTCTCCTGAGGCGGGACTCACAAATGGCCCTTAAGGATTGTGTTGCCCTACAGGCCTCACACTAAATGTCAAAAGAGGGAGGGAGGAAAGGACAGAGGGAGGGAGGGAGGGAGGGAGGGAGGGAGGGAGGGAGGGAGGGAGGGAGGGAGGGAGGGAGAATCAGCCTGACAGCTATTGGACCTAGGATTTGGGACCTCCTATTTGCATATGTAAAAGTCAACTAATTTGTTGAGTATCCATGCCAAAAAAAACCTGCAAAATAAAAATAGAGACAATGAGAGATGATTGCTGAGTTTATTTTCAGTTCTAGCATTCTTTGACTCTATCCTGTTCTCTGTGTTTTATGAATCTATGCATGAATGTGTGTGTTGGAGTAGGACATAGGATCAGGGTCATTGTCATGCACAAAAAGAAAGGAAGAGACCCTAACAGGACTTGAATATTTGAATAGATAATATAAGAATAGGAAAGGGAATGAAGATAACTTTCATTTAAGTATTATCTTGTTGACTCAGTTACTTTAACTTCTGCTAATTAAGATCCTATGTCAACATTGGGTTAACTCAGCAGAACTACTTCCAAGTGACAAAAATATATTGGGCCTTTATAAAAGGAAACATAAAATGCTGTTACAGCTACTAAGACTGGGAACTGGAAAACAAGGAGGAAGTTAGAAGAGACAGTATCCTTACTGGAGTAAATGGATAAAATAATATTTAATTTTTAAGTCATATAAGGCACTGTGCTGAATTCTGTGGGGCAAGCTTCTAGGAACAAGACTCATTGTTATTATCATGAAAGGTAAGGGCATTATGATAAATAGGACAGCCACTATAATAATTAAAATACCAGATAAAATGTGTCATTGCACAGAGACTATGAAAAGAGATTCAACTCTCTTTCTCTCTCTCTCTCTCTCTCTCTCTCTCTCTCTCTCTCTCTCTTTCTCTCTCTCTCTCTCTCTCTCTCTCTCTCTCTCTCTCTCTCTCTCTCACACACACACACACACACACACACACACACACACTAAGAGGCTGAAGAATTAATTTCTGATTGGGATTATTAGAGGAAGTTTCAAGGAAAATATAATATTTGAAGTGATCTTGAAGAATAACTAGAATTTTAACAGGTAGAAATTAAAGATGGAAGAAAGAGGAGGTTAAGGTAAAGGACATAATTGCAGATAGAAGTAAACTTCATTAGCTAAAGTACAAAAAATAGCATTAACTTGGAATAGTGAGCTGTTCAAGAAAACTATAAAGTAGGGTACATTCAGAATTAGGGGAGGATGATGTCACAGAGGCCAAAGGAAGAGAGTGTAAAGGAGTTAATGTATCAAATGATACATATTATATTCTAGAGGATGGAGACAGGGAAAAAGATGCTTTGATTTGTTATTTAGAGGTAATTTTAGTGAAATGATAGAAGCAGAAGGCCAAGTACACAAAAGTTGAGAAGTGAGTGGTCAGAACAACAGAGCACAAAACAAGCCAGTATCTTTGAAAAAGAGAAAATAGGCTAAATTAAGACACTTAAGAAACATAACATTCTGAGGCAAATGTGATCCTAAGTTGAATATAATTGTGGGCAAATCAGCTATAAAAGATATTTTGGGGTCAGTTGAAAGAATTGAATCAAGACAGAGTGTTCCTTAAGGTACAATCATACTGTATACTGTGGAGACTGATAACTGAAAAAAAGAAAGCAGCTTATAAAACAATATGCATTTACACCCACATTCATAGCACTGTTATTCACAATAGCTAAAAAGGTGGAAGCAACTCAAATGTCCATTGACCAATGAATGAATAAACAAAATGTGACCAATACATAAATGAAATAGTATTCAGCTTTAATAATGAAGAAAATTCTGACACATGCTATAACTTGGATGAATCTTAAGGATATTATGCTAAGTGAAATAAGCTAGACACAACAAAGATGAATGCTGTATGATTCTACCTGTAACCATAGAAACATTGCATAGAAACAAAATAGAATGATGGTTACAAGGGGTTAGGGGAGAGGGAAGTAGGGAGTTGTCAAATAGTAGAGAGTTTTAGTTTTGCAATGTGAGCAAGTCCTTGATTTTGCACAATAATGTGAATATACTTAACACTACTGAACTATACGCTTAAAAAATGGTTAAGATAGTAAATTTTTGTTATTGAGAAGCCCAGATGGCTGGGTGGGGCCTACCTAAATAAATAAATATTCTATCTGAGAAAGTTTTGTGTGATCCAATGTGAGGTCAAGGAGTACAAACTAAAACAGTGTAAGGGCCTGTGCAGTTCTACATCATTATATGGGAAGGTTAGATTTCCAAGATACCCGTTTTTAAAAAGATAATGTTACTTTAAATATGTTTGTTTCTTTTTTGTTGCAGAAATTTAGCAATGGAATATTTCCCGCACTGTGACAGGGCATAGGCCAGGCTGGGGGACATCCCCCCAAACCCCTCCTCCAAGTGCACGAATTTCATGCACCAGGCCACTAGTATGTATATAAAAGATCCAGGAGGTATAAATTAAGGTGCTAAAATAGTAATCAATCCCTGGCCAGTTTGGCTCAGTGGATAGAGTGTCAACCTGCAGACTGAGGGGTCCCGGGTTCGATTCCAGTCAAGGGCATGTATCTTGGTTGTGGGCACATCCCCAGTGAGGGGTGTGCAGGAAGCAGCTGATTGATGTTTCTCTCTCTTCAATGTTTCTGACTCTCTAGCCCTCCCCCTTCCTCTCTGCAAAAAATCAATAAAATATATATTTAAAATAATAATAATAAAATAGTAATCAATGACTGGTAGCATATGGGATTTTTATTTTTTACATGTTTTTATTAATTTCAGAGAGGACGAGAGGGAGATAGAAACATCAATGACAAGAGAAAAATCACTGATTGGCTGCCTCCTGCACAGCCCCATACTGGCAACCAAGCCCACAACCCAGGCATGTGCCCTGACTGGGAATCAAACCATGACCTCCTGGTTCATAGGTCAACACTCAACCACTGAGCCACTTCTGCCAGGCTAGTTTCTTATTCTTATTTGTCTATATTTTTCATGCATATATTCTGCTTCTGTTAATATAAAGTTATTGTTTCTATTATATTCAATACAAAACAAATAAACAAGAAAGAACTAATGGATGGTGAGAAAAATCAATGCCAAGAGTGTACACAATCCTTGAAAAATTGAACAGCAAAAGGAAAAGTTGATGTTGTATTTAAAAGATATAACTGAGTCTATGACCTTTTTCTGTGGTGATGAGTCCTTTGAAAATCTGGTAGGGAATGGATAGACCTCTGCCCTTGAGGAAATGAAAATATGTACAGTTAAAATTTCCCCTATCCTTTGAGGTAAAAATGGGGCTTCTAAAAGCCTTTTCATGGATTTAAAGTTAGGAACCTCTGGTATAAAAGTTATTGTTTGTTTGTCCATTAGACTCGATTATTTGTTTTTGAATATTAAGTAAGGAAAGTAATCAGTGGAGAATGAGAGATTAAAAGTCCAAAAAAAAAGGGAGAAATTTACATTGATATAAACTTCCAAACGAGGTTCTTTTGATACACACTTAGATACAGATTTTAAATGGTCTATCTGAACCTGGCCAGCATGGTTCAGTGGTTTAGTGTCCATCTATGAACCAGAAAGTCACGGTTCAATTCCTGGTCAGGGCACATGCCTAGGTTGCAGGCTCGATCCCCAGTGTGGGGCATGCAGGAGGCGGCCAATCAATGATTCTTTCTCAGCATTGATGTTTCTATCTTTCTTGCCCTCTTCCTTCCTCTCTAAAATACATTTTTACGTAAGTAAATAAATAGTCTATCAGAGAAAGTTTTGTGTAATCCAATGTGAAGTCAAGGAATACAGACTAAAACAGGGTTAAGGGCCCATGCAGTTCTACATCATTATGTGGGAAAGATACCCATTTTTAAAAAGATAGTGTTACTTTAAATGTGTTTGTTTCTCTTTTTTGCAGAAATTTAGCAATGGATTATTTCCCTGATGAGACCAATTCAACGGACATACACTCCCAGCCTTCGTATAAGCCCCCAATAATTCTGTCCATGGTCATTCTCAGCCTCACTTTCTTATTGGGATTGCCAGGCAATGGGCTGGTGCTGTGGGTGGCTGGCCTAAAGATGAAGTGGACCGTGAACACTGTTTGGTTTCTCCATCTCACACTGGCAGACTTTCTCTGCTGCCTCTCCTTACCCTTCTCCCTGGTTCACTTGGCTCTCCAAGGACACTGGCCTTATGGTTGGCTCCTATGCAAGCTCATTCCTTCCATCATCATCCTCAACATGTTTGCCAGCGTCTTCCTACTGACTGCCATTAGCCTGGACCGCTGCCTTCTGGTACTCAAGCCCATCTGGTGCCAGAATCACCGCAACGTGAGGACAGCCTTCGCCATCTGTGGATTTATCTGGGTGATGGCTTTTGCAATGTGCATACCTGTGTTCATGTACCGGGAAACGATCCCCATAGACGACCAAACTATGTGTGGCTACAATTATGGTAGCAATAGCTCACCAGATTATTCATACTACACTTTTGATCAACTGGAAAATGGATCTCTTGACTATTCCAATGTTCAGTTGCTTGAAAAAATGGTTGACAAGTCAGATGCTTTCTCTTCACAAAGAAATGATCATCCTTGGACAACTACCACTCTCCTCCAGTCTGAAACCTTTCAAAGACCTCCTGGAGATTCAGTCCCTGTGGGTTCAACTAGATTATCTAATCAACATCCATATTATAATTTAATTAAACCTGATAATGAGGCCTCCCCAACAACCCCCATTGGCCTTCCCATTGAAGATCACAGAATTAACTCACAGGATGACTCTGATGCTTTCCTCTCTACCGATTTAGAACTTTTCTCTAATACCTCTAGTAATGCTGCATACACAATTGTGCCACCACAATATTTCCAGTACTATACTTATACTGAAGGACACTTTGAACCTAGCAATAAAGTTCCAACACCGGAGGTGATAATAACCATCACTAGGCTAGTGATGGGTTTCCTGCTGCCCTGTATTGTCATGGTGACCTGTTATAGTCTCATTATCTTCAAAATGTGGGGTCGCTCGATCAAGGCTCAGAGCAAAACCTTCCAGGTGGCCATCGTGGTGGTGGTTGTCTTCATTGTCTGCTGGGCCCCATACCACATTTTTGGAGTCCTCTTTTTGTTTTATCACTCAGAGCATGAAGGGAGCTTGAAGGAAGCTCTGCTATCCTGGGACAGTGTGGCCATTGCTCTAGCATCTGCCAATAGTTGCTTCAATCCCTTCCTCTATGCCCTTATGGGGAAAAACTTTAGGGAGAAAGCAAGGCAGTCTGTGCAGGGCATTCTGGAGGCAGCTTTCAGTGAGGGGCACACACATTCTACCAGTTGTACTCAAAGCAAAGGCTTTTCTAAAACCAACACCAGCACAGCTGTGTGACAATATGGAGCATTTGACCCAAGCAGAGCTTCTTAGCTATTCACCACGTGTGACATGTCTCTAAAAGAGCAAGGGACTTGGTGAACAGGGATTTCGGAAAACACCAAAGACTCAACCTTGAGGCCTTCCAAGTGTGGTCCCAGACTAGTGACATCAGTATACCATGGAAACTCTCTGGTCGAACCTGACTTGAAAACAAGTTCTCTTGTTTCTGACGAATGCTATGTCTGAGAGACAATGCACAAATTAATCTGTTTCTATCCCAAACTGAGCCCCCTGAGATAAATGAGAATCTAATCTGTTGTAAAATTTTTCCTTCCATCCTTAATTTTTTTATTTAGTATATAGAAATCCCCTTCCATATTCATTTTAAAACCAATTGCCCTAGCTCTGAGTGAAAGATGATCATTTATTCTATGGCTTTATTGTTATACTCTTGGTGGGGGGGGGGGTCGTTTTAAATAAAGAGAAGGGGAGGTAGTAAAGGGTGAAGGGGCCAAATATAGTGACACAAGATTATTTGACTTTGGTTGGTGGGCATACAAAGCAATATATACAGATCACATATCATAGAAATGTATACTTGAAACCTATATGACCGTATTAACCAATGTCAATACATGTAATGAAATAAAAATTTTTTTTGAAGAAATAGTTTATGAAAACAAGGATTTATGAGTCTGGAGCAAGCACAATGCCAGACACTTCCTATTTGGAATACTCATGAATACAGGACACAATTCCAAGTTTCCTTTATTGTAACTGATTAAGCATCTCTTGTGTAAACACAGACTACTAAGGCATCTAACAACTTACTCATGATCTGTAATGTAAGCTGCCCTTTGAGTTCTCTTATCTGTTTTCTCTATCTGCTTATAAGGTAGAGCCATCTTCCTTCCACTCTTTGTCTTAAATAACTTAATTCCCTTATTTCTCTCCCGCCCCTAAGTCTTCTTTTATTTTAGAATTTGTACCTTTACTAACCTCTAATTTCAAAAATTTAAAATCACTGAAAAATGACTGAGTACCCTCCAGGAATACCATCAAACTTATTAAAACATGACTATAAGTATTTTTCATGTTATAATCACCAGATGTGTGTGTGTATAATTTAGTTTTCTAAATTAAATATTATCCAAGTTAATATATACACATAGTTTAAAGCCATTTGAGGTTTATAATGAAATATGAGAAGTTTCAACACTCAACCCTGCCCTCCCATCGCCCTTTTCTGAAATAACCGTTGCACAATTTTATATGTTCCTTCTGATCTTTGCCATGATGTTTCTAAGTCATGGACTTATGCTGATCATTTTTGTAGATAATGATAAAATGACTTCTGATTTTGCAAAATGAAGAATTTTATCCAAGCACATATTCATATTTCTTGTTTATTCAGAGTCCCAATATTCTTTAACCATCACACTTTAATTTGTTCACGACCACACATTTTCTTCTACTTTCTCTCTCCATTCCAACCCTACATATATGCATATGGCTTTCCATCTATTCTTCTTTCATTTTATAAAAGCACTGTTCAACTCCCTATTACTTTCTCATTTTTCTGTATACAAACCTGTATGTGTTAAACATTTAAAATTTCAGGTTTGTTAAACATAGTTTCATTTAAGCTGAATACAATGTTTTAATGTAAAGACAGAAAATTAAAAGTTGAGGTGAGGGTCTGAACTACAAATTTGTTATAAAGTATTATACAGGAAATTTCAAACAACTAGGAATTCTTTCACTTGTGAGGTAATGTCTAATATGATGTATATTTGCAATGCTAACTTTTATTTTAATCTGCTTATATTTTTATGGAAATAAATGCTTTCTCATGATTCCTTGCAAGACTCAATAGATTTGTGGATTCTGTTCATTGTGTGATACTCAGAATATATCAAATCTCTAGATATGCAGCAAATAAATCTTATTGGGAATAGCTATAGTCTTGCTATAATAGCAGTTGGCTAGGCTTCTGGAAATCCCAACATCTCCTAAGACCCTAGGTCCGTGGTCAGCAAACTGCGGCTCGCGAGTCGCATGCGGCTCTTTGGCCTGGGAAATAGACTCTCCCAGGCTGTAGTATTTTGGCTCTTCCACAAAATACTACAGCCTGGGAGAGTCTATTTTGAAAAAGTGGTGTTAGAAGAAGTTTAAGTTGAAAAAATTTCGCTCTCAAAAGAAATTTCAATCGTTGTACTATTGATATTTGGCTCTGTTGACTGATGCGTTTTCCGACCACTGCCCTAGGTATAAATCTCAAACTCCTTTACTCAAGAGTAAAGGATATGAGGAGGAATGAATAGGTGGCATGGCTGGACTCCTAGATTACTATTTACCTTGAAATGTAATCTGAAATATTCCTAAAAATGAAATTCCCTCATTGCTGATGAGAAACTCTGGGAAGTACCTATAATTATGACCCAATTCCTCCCCAAATTGCAGTACATTTAACCTTTAAAATATCCCAGAATTAAAGCAAGATGACCTGTCCATATACCAAGTTGCAAAGGGTGAATGTCCCTCTCAACAATATTTCACTATTTTTAATAGCATTTGAAAATGAGAACGTTAATTACATACTGTTCATTCTTGTCTCTCATCAATCTTCCCTCCCCTCCCCCTGCCAAAAAAATAGTCATCTAATCATATGATATGATAGCCATCTAACCCTATGGTATGAGGTGGGGAGGGGCAAAAGACCAATTGAAAACAAATACTTCACATACCCTTCCCACCCTGGCATAGAAGAAACTTGAGACCAGCATCAATAAGATAAAACCATAAACATTCTTCTTGGTTTTTATTATGAAAGCATGCAAAAAAACAACAACAACAATTGTGAGACCATACCCCCCCTTCCCAGCCTGCATCAATGCAAAGCATTACGAGTGGTAGGAAGGACTCACCAAACCAGAAACATAGAGGTTAAAGAGAGGAAGGCAGAGATGGGTGGATCTACACCAAGTAATTGTTCCTTCTGTCCCTCTCCTCCTCTTTCCCCCTTATTTCCATCTTGCAGGCAGTGAGCTCCTGCGGTTTTGCACACATCACCCAATACAACGACGACTATACTTCCAGCCCAGCAATGCTGAACCAACAAGAAAAAGTAGTATTCTTCCATTTCGTGGTGGGGAATGGGGAACTAAGGCCCAAAGAGGGTCAGGATTTTCTGCTGCCACTGAGCAAGGCTGAGTTTAGCGAAGGGGGACCTTAAGTCCAAAGAAGCCTGACAGCCAATCTCCAGCCCTTAGCCCCAAACTTCAGTTTCTCTGGCAGCCCACCAGAGTTCTTAATGAGACTACCCTGTTTCCCCGAAAATAAGACAGTGTCTTATATTAATTTTTTTTCTCCCAAAGTTGCGCTAGATCTTATTTTCAGGGGATGTCTTATCTTTCCATGCGCTAGGTCTTATTTTCGAAGGATGTCTTATTTTCGGGGAAACACGGTAGTTTTCTTTGAGACACGGATGACTTGTAAACGAGGGACATTTACCTGGATGATTTAGTCTACCCTTGCTGAATCTGAGTAGAAAAGGAGTTTACAAAAGAGGAGTGGTAACACATAAAGGGGACATCTTAGGGAGAACAGACAGGAAGTTGTGTGCAGGAGGCACCTTGATTGGAAGGAATAAGAAAGATGCCCAAAATAGAAACACTGGGCAAAGGCATTGTGCCGCCCTCTAAGAGAAATTCTCCTTTCCCCAATTTTAAAACATTATGTCGTACTTCCAACCCCACTTACTGCCCTCCAACACAATGGGGGAATTCAAGCCACTCACACCCCCACTTCTTACAAAGAACTTCAAAGAAATAAAGTGCTCTTCAGTCAACGGCCCTTCCCTGCCTCTTTACTTCAGCCTTCCTGGACATCTTCAACCAACTCTCATGTATAACCCCCTTCTAAAGAAAGGGGGGGGGGGATGGGGGGGGGGGAAGCAGCAGTGGAAAGCTAAATCTTTTGGAAATCATCAGTAAATAAAGAAATATGAACAAAACTAAAAAAAAAAAAACAACAACAACAACAACAACAACAAACAGAAATCACTGAGAGAGTGGCCCTGTCTAGTCCATACATTATATCCTGTAGCTTTCAGAAACTAAACATTCAGAGAAATAAAAACGGCAGTAAAACTGTTCTCCCCACCCATAACTACAATTCAACAATGAATATCAATATACTCTGAGTACTCTGCAGCAATAAATCATGGCCACTCCTGGTTAAAGGAGAGAAGTTATCCGTATACCTTTTCCTGAGGGGTCTCCCTTGGTTCTCTCATTGAACTCTTCCTTCTAGATTATTTACCCCATGTTGCCAAGCTCCTTCACCCCCTCCAAAGGCCACTGTAAACATTACAGCCCCAAGGGTCTGGATTCCAACAGAGCATTTGCCTATATAATGAAAGAACTGAAAGAGTTCTTTCCTGTGTCGATGCCAGCTCCATTTTCCTTTGCCCACCCTCCTACCACCAATTCAGGTTGGTTCTGCTATGATGGGTGGGAAAGGGATTCCCATCCTGTCCTGGGACATGAGGACACGAAGAGTGATAATGGGTTACTTTTCTATCATGAGAATGCCAGAAAATGAGGGGAGAAAATAAGGTGAGTAGGGGAGTTGAACCAACAACCAAAAGGAAGACAACATAGTATTTGCTGAATGGGAAAGAGGATGGAAGACTAATCTGTAAATGCAGGTAAGAGCCACAGTACATTTCCAGAGAAAATTATGTTTCAAAAGCCAAAACGGTTACACTGAAAACATCTCCAAAAAGCTGAGCCTATGCTGAATAGCTGTCCTCATTCTTACATAGCAACAGAGTTCTGACCCAGACCCGCCCTATCTCCCTTCGAGAATGGCTTAGGAACAAGCCAATGGATTTTGATTTGATAAGAGTATTACATACCAACTAGAAGCCTGATGCACGAAGATTCGTGCTAGAATGGGCTTTCCTTTCCCTGAATGCCGGCACCATCCTCCCACTTCGGCCAGCCCCTTTCCACTTAGGCCCCGGAGCCTCCTCTTTCCATCTTTCCAGCTCCAACCCCGCCTTCCGACACTGCCCAGAGTCCCTGAGCATCCCGCCCCAGTCACTCGGCCACTTTTGTTGGGTTAATTTGCATATCACTCCTGCCTGTCTGGTGGCTTTAGCGGAGGTATGGTCCATTTACATGTTTGTCTATTATTAGGTAAGATCGCTGGATGTTTTACACTTCATTGCCCCGCTGCAGTATTCTACACCACCCAACCCACGCCTCCTATTCCACCAGGGATTTGCTGTCACCTTCGGACACCACCACCATCACTCTTACCCTCAGTGGGGAATGAGGACCAACAGAAGTAAAGACTGAAAATATGAAGGGACAGGGAAGAGCTCAGAGGCCAAAATTAGCACCATTGAGTAAAACCTGCAAAGTCCTGGCTGCCAAGCAGTGTCTGAGGTCCTTCTACTTGGTAATGTAGCCTCTCCAGTCCTGGACTGAACTGACAGGAACAGAAAACAATTTAAGGTCGAAAGGTATGGTCAGCATTGAACGTCTCAGAGTGAAAGGTAAATCCGAGTTGGAAACCTTTCTCTGTAGCTATCACGGCCTCGCCTTCCAGCCAGAGGACTTTAAATTAGCAAGGGGTGCACACGGCTGATGGTATAGAGATGGGAGACAGGGGACCGCATATAACCAATACGCATAACAGTAACATAATAAGAATAAAAGAATCAGGGGGGAAACAAGAAGAAAGAGGAAGAATGAGGCAGGGAAAAGGGGTTATCTTCGGCAGCATCTTGCAGTGACTTCTCTGACAGAGAAAGAACAAAAACAAGAGGATATATATCTATATACAGGCAGCGGGGGAAGGGATGGGCTGGGGCTGCTCTTTCCCCACTGCCAGGCTTCACCGCCCGGCCCTGGGCTGAGAGTCACACTCTGTGATGCACTAAGTGATCAAGTCCCAGTCGAAGTCATCGGGGATCTCCTCGTTGGCACCAGGATGTGGAACCGGCGGCCGGGGGACCATGTGGTGTGCTATCAAGAAGAGAGAAAGACATTAAAAGGGGAATAGACGAATAGACAGGAAGCTATTCTATCAGTTAGATGGACAGTGCTCAGCCCCCACAAACCACAAGGAATGTCCGGTGAACCTATTGTTCTTATCATCCCTGAGTTATTTTTGTGGCCAGCCACAACTTCAATGAGGCCCCAGGAAATAAATTAGACCAAACCAGCTTCTATGCCAATATAACAGTTTGCAGCCATCACACTTATACTTACAAAGACTAGGTAATAATGACAAACAACATACAGAATGTACTAGTATTTGAAAAACTGCACAGAAATGTGTGTATTATATGGTAAGGAATACATGGACAAAGATTCCAATGTCACTCCCACAATTGAAAACGCTTATGGTTTGGCAGGATTTTTTCTAAAATGGATTTCAGGTGAAATAGTTCATTTTGTACTGTTTCTGATAACTTTGGGTCTCCCCGGGCACTCCTACCATCTGAGATCATTTAATCCCAGGCCCCTGATACCAGAGGTCAGGCAACAGGAAAGTAGCCAGGGACACAAAGCAGTTATGTTTTATGTTTTGCATATCATGTTCATTTATTTGCCTGAGTATATCTCTCAGCTCCTAAAGTTAGACATAAATATTCTACGTTATCTATCTTTTATTTACAGTTATGCTTTTACTGCCTTTCGCTATTGCAGGGACCAGATAATTTCAAAGTAAGTGTCTAGTCTCCCATGTGACCCAAACACTGGCCTTTAGAATCATGAAGGCTCGATCCTGCCAGAAGGAGCAGGGAATGAAGACCCAGAGATAGAAGAAAGTGAAACACCTGGTCAGGGAAGAGAGTGCTTGGCGGTCAAACAAGCTTGCTGGCTCTTACCTGGGCGATTGTATCCTGCTGAGTCCTGGGTGGGGATTGGATACATCGGTGACGGGCCAGGGTATAGGTGTGGGGCTTGTGGGTGCCCATAAGAGTTCACTGCCAAACAGGGAAATAGTTACTTGAGTGGGATCATTCTACTCAATGCAGCAGGGTCCCACAGAGAGGGGGAAAAACAGTCCCCCCTCCCCTTTCCCTTCCTCTCCCCTCTCCTGCTCTGTTCTACAGCCTCCACAGGCATGAAGGCTTTCTGCGGGAGCTATCAATCTTCACCACGGAGGGTATAGAGGACCCCAATAGGAGAACTGTGAAAGAACATAGTCATGTATTAGAAGGATGACAAATATAGAAATAGGATCACTGCCGAAACCTGTTTGGCTCAGTGGATAGAGCGTCGGCCTGCAGACTGAAAGGTCCCAGGTTCTATTCCGGTCAAGGGCATATACCTTGGTTGCGGGCACATCCCCAGTAGGGGATGTGCAAGAGGCAGCTGATGGATGTTTCTCTCTCATCGATGTTTCTAACTCTCAATCCCTCTCTCTTCCTCTCTGTAAAAAAAAAATAAATAAAAAATTAAAAAAAATCAATAAAAAAAAATTTTTTTTAAAGAAAAAAAGAAATAAGATCACTGAATCTCTCTGACACTGGTTTGATGATCATACAAGTGCAGAGACCCAAGCCTTCACATGCTATGATTCAGGTATGGGTTACTGAGCACAAATTTGGAATGGAGACTTTCTCCTCCCTTTTCTTACATAATGCTCATCTTCCACGTCCAGGAGTCACACGGTCTATTTCTTTGGCATTCTCCGGGACTTTACAGATAAATGTTCAGTCAATGTGGTGAGCAAACTTGTCCTGCTGCTCAGTTTGGATCCCTGCCCATTAGATGATTTCTCTCCATTTCCTTCTGTCCTTCTCCTCCCCCTCCCTTTTCATCAGAGTCTCCACCTCCTTGGCCACTAGCTTTGTTCCTACCTTGGTTTAGGGCTGGCTCTTGTTTGCAGCTGGTGAGGGCACAGGAGTCAGCGATTCGGGCAGGGGCTGGTGGCCGGTGGGACGGCCCCTGAGGGGGCACGTGACCAGTCTGAGTAAGGAAGTGGTTGAGGGAGTCGCACAGATTGGCAATGTGATGCTGGTCCAGGCTCCAGTTTTTCTGCTCTGCCTGTCGCAGACTCTCCATCAGTTCTGCAAGCAGAGAAGCAAGAAAGGCTAACCTTGCAGAGGCCCAGAGCCCCTATCGGATCTACCCCATCTCACTGTTCCAACCGCATCACAAATCAATACCACCCATTAAATGCATTATCCATTATAACTGGCATTCCAGTAGAGCTCTACGTTTTCAAACTCTCATTCTACTTGTTTGTTATGAAATTCGTGTTATCATTTTGATCTTACTGTTGAGTGAAACAAAGTTTCAAAGTAGCTGAAGGAATGAACCAGGATCACACTGTCAGCAAATGGTGACAAAAATTCAAACCACTTGTCCAGGTTTTCTGAATTTCTGAGAGCCTTCCCTCTCTCCCAGGGACAGAACTGGCTAGGATAAACCACTGCCATGTTTTCAGATAAGGCTAAATTTATGGAACTTAATTTGCAAATCATATCATCTACCTTGGGAAATACAGAGGGAAAACAATGAAATCTTCAAACGTAACCATTCACTTCTGGTTCTGATTTCTATTGGGTTTGTCTACTCCAACTAGATCCCTCCTCTCTTCCGTCATCACTAACCTGAGAACTGTGACTGCTCAATGCTGGACCAATTGAGCCGATTCACCATCTTGAAGCTTTCCTTTAAGGAGTCGATATTGGAGCACCAGTCAGGAGGAAAGGCTGTAAAGAGGACAGAGTGGGGCATAAGAGAGAGCCAAATGTAAGACGGCAGTCAGCTCATTAGCAGACGGACACGTGTAAGATTCTTGTATCCATACAGGCTATCGATTGCATTACCGAGACAATTTTAGAATCTCCCTCCCTGGAGACTTGGGACAAGTAAAGCTATCTATGCATTAGGTATTGACAGCTCAGCTCACAGACAGGAGAATATACAAAACAATCCCAGTTTATCTACAATTTCTCTAAATCAGAGCTCCAGTAGCAGCGTGTTAGATCAGATGAGCTCTTGCACAGGAGAGGCTAGACTCGGTATTTACCTCCTCACCAATTGGACCTCCATGCCAGAGTCCGAAAAGGGGGTCATTCACCGCCCTCCCCCCCCTTTCCCAGCATCCCCCCAGCATATCCCTGAACCATCCTTACTCACCAAAACCAGTACTATTGATAGGAGCCTGGCCTTGTGCCTGGGGCTGCGGTGGCGGTGGCTGCTGGGCAGGGTGGGTGTGGGGATGGTGCTGATGAGGGTGGTAGACTCCATGCTGCAGTGGGGGTGGATGCATGGCCATCACAGAGGGAGGCCCATAGCCTTCAGCCCCAGCCTGCTTGCCCCCCGGTGGGGTACAACCATCTGGGCTTGGGGTGTGCAATGGAGGAGCACCCGCTACAGTTGAGGGGCCCTGGGCTGGTGCCTGCTGCTGCTGTGGCTGTGACTGTTGGGGCTGTGGCTGTGGTGGCTGCTGCTGCTGCTGCTGCTGCTGCTGCTGCTGTTGCTGCTGCTGCTGCTGCTGCTGTTGAGGAGGCGGCTGCTGCTGCTGGTACATGTAGTAGTTGTTAGAGGGTGGCATGTCCCCCAGGAGAGAGGAAAAGCCTGCAGGGTGGGAGGAAGCAGGCGAGTCACTTGGGCAATGCATTTTCACTCCACAGGATTTCCACTGGGTTGAGGTGGGCAGCCTCACATGGAAACCACAGACTCCAAAGACAAGGGTGATCTGGGACAGCAGGGGTGGCACTGGCCCCTCATTGGTAAAGCAGAGGGAAGGCCTTGACAGTGTGGTGACCACTGAAATTTTAGGTCTGCAGGTACCTTTTTATGCTTTTTTAAAAAATTTTTTTTTATTGATTTTTTTTTTTTTTTTTTTTTTTTACAAAGAAGGATGGAGAGTTATAAACATCAATCAGCTGCCTCATGCATACCCCCTTGACTGGAATTGAACCTGGGACCCTTCATTCCACAGGCTGAGCCAAACAGGTTAGGGCCATCTTTATGCTTTTGTACAAGGATTTGAGTGCAGGCTTTAATCACAGTTTCGAAAGACAACAGACATCAGGTCAAGTTTTAAAAGTAAATCATAAGCCCTAACCGGTTTGACTCAGTGGATAAAGCATCGGCCTACGGACTGAAAGAACCCAGGTTCGATTCCAGTCAAGGGCATGTACCTTGGTTGCGAGCACATCCCCAGTAGGGGGTGTGCAGGAAGCAGCTGATCGATATTTCCTCTCTCATTTATGTTTCTAACTCTCTATTCCTCTTCCTTCCTATCTGTAAAAAATCAATAAAATATCTTTTAAATATATATATATGTATATATATATTATATATAGTAAATCATAAATAAAATAAAGCCATGAGAATCTATTCTCTCCTCTTCCTTATTGTCTCTACACCCTTCTACTGTATTCACTACCAACAAATGGAGCTTCAGTGAGCAATAGGTAAGGAATTGATGAATTTATCAAACAAATTAGGCAGAAGAGAATTAGAGACTGAGGCTAGTGGCTTTAGGCCAACATTAAAATTCAGCGAACACTTTGCTGTCCTCACCAATATAACTTTTTACTTTGTTCCTGAAAGCTCCTCCATGTTCTTCCCTTCCAATCAACCAATCACCTGAGTTGGATTAATTTCTCATGCAAATGCTACAATTTTAGAACACAACTCTAGATTCAAATCCCCAGGCTGTGTGGCTCAGTAGTTGAGTGTCGACCTATGAAGCAGGAGATCATGGATTCAATTCCAAATCAGGGCATATGTCCAGGGAGAATCAATGATTCTCTCTCATCATTGATGTTTCTATCTCTCTCTCTCCCTTCCTCTCTGAAATCAATAAAAATATTTTCTAAAAAAAATTCATGACAATTAATATAAAATTTCCAAACAGTAAGTCCTAACTACTTTTAATCATTCAATTCATCTCCTGATGTCTGTACAAGGCCACAGTATAGAACAAGAAGATCTGGCCGAAATCAGTTTGGCTCAGTGGATAGAGCGTTGGCCTGTGGACTCAAGGGTCCCGGTTTCGATTCCGGTCAAGGGCATGTATCACTCCCCAGTAGGGAGTGTGCAAGAGGCAGCTGATCGATGACTCTCTCTCATCAATGTTTCTAACTCTCTATCTCTCTCCCTTCCTCTCTTTAAAAAAATAAAAATTAATGAAATATATTATTAAAAAAAAGATCTGATGATTCACCTAATGTCTTTTATTTTTTACATTTTATTTTATTTATTTTTCCATCACCATTTATCCCCATATACCCTCTTCCATTTCTACCCATCCCCTCACCGAGAAGTCCTGACTTTACCTCTACCTCTAATTTCTTTAAAAACAAAACAGAACAAGAACAAAAGAGAAATTACAGAGGGCTGAACCAGATTGAGTCTCCCAATAAGGAATTTAGGTCATTTTCAAATCAGGAAGTTGAGTATGAACAAGATATAAATTTACATTAACTTGTGGTGGGTTAATATATATAAATAACAAAAAAATATATATTTTTTAAGGATGCATGTTGAAATGATATTTAGAGGTAGATGACATGTCTGAGAATTGCATCAAAATACTCCAATTAAAAAGAAGGGGATCATGGAGGTAGAAGAGGGCATCAAGGGGGATAAAAGGTGATGGGAAGAAGAAAAAAAGCTGAGTGGTGAATGAAACAAGCTTAACAAAATATTGGTAACTTTAAGTTGGAAGATGGAAACATGAGGGTTTATAACACTATTTTCTCTATTTTTACATCTGTTTGAAATTTTTACTCATAAAAAATTAACAAATATAAATATGCTAAAAATAAGATTAAATAGTTCTCACAAAGAAAAGTAGGGGGAAGGGTTGAGAGGAGGAGTAGGGGGAGAAATACTATTAAGGAAAGAAAACTGCTGCCCCCTAGTGGTCATTCTCTAAATGACTTGTTACAGCAATAAAATCCCCCTTCCCTCTAGAAGGGGGATGCTTCCAACTCACTTCCTGAAGCTAATAACCCAGACCGTGTGCTGAAACAGCCAGAAGAGCTCAACTCCAAACAGTACTGATTCATGACATGTGTCCCCTGACCAGTGATCAACCTCTCCTTGTGTTAAAAATAAGAAAGGAGAAAAGAGAATGTCACCATCTGTTCAAAAACACAAGGATGCCCATGCTCCCGTCCCACCTTCAGACTCACCATGCTGAGAGGAGGAGGAGGACTTCTCCAGCATGGATTTGTAGAGGTTGCGGAAGGACCAGCTCAGATCCTGAAAATTGATTTCTGAGTAGGAGAATTTGAAGTCCTGGTTGGTGTTATACAAGGGAGGGGGGCCCTCAGCACTTTCTCGACCTGGAGCCCCTGCAGCCACTGCTCCACCATCCACAGATCCTGTGCCCTACAAACAGAAGAAAGACTTGATCTGCGTCCCCAAGGAGGGACCAGTACCACCCCTTTAGTGCTCCCCAAGCTCTCCTGCCTGTCTTCATCCTCTACCAACTTTGCAACGAATAAGCATTTGTTCATATTTTGATGTAGCCTCTTGTGCTTTCCCTATGCCACATCCATGCACTTATTTCTCTTATAAACTTTTTTTTGCCTCCTTCTTCTCATCCCTTTTTTTCCTTAATCTTTCTCAAGTTTCTGTTCTCATTCTCTCTCTCTCTTAACTTCCCTCTTTTGCTCCCCCCTTGATGACCAATTTATCTGCCTATTGTATCACAGGTACTCAATACTTTTGAACTGAAAGATAGATGACTCTATTTAACCACCCAATCACCTATCCACCCATTCACCCAGCCACCAACTCATCCATCCCTCCATCCATCTCCCTCTATTCCCCCTGCCACCTCTCCTTCCTACCTGGCTATAGCTGGTGATAGATGTGGGGCTCTGCAGCGACATCTGAGGATTCCCTTCTGGAGGCAGTGAGGCTTCTCCGCCCCCTGGAACGCCTCCCCGAGGGCTCTTGCTTGCCTCCTGTTCTGGTGAGTCCTGGGATAGCTGAGGGGTGTGAAATAGAAATCCATAAGCAGAAGCTAACCTTCCTCCCAAGACCCATGGCTTCACCTCTGCTGGTATTTGGCCTTTGCCCCGATATATAAAAGGCCTGAGAACTCGGGAAAGAGTGTGGAAGGAGCAGCTGGCTCAGAACAGACATCTCTCCACAAGTCGGGGACTTACATCATCGTCCGGTGGGTGTCTCCTTTTTCGGGAGATGTCGGGACAAGTGTCGATGGTCCAGTAAGAGCCCTAGAAGGAGAACCAGCACCAACAAAACCAGTTTCAATGAAAAGTCTCACCTTTGGGAAAGCAGATATTTGGGAGGATTTTTTCATAAAGTAACAGATCTATGTATTAAGTAAAATGGATTTTAAAAAAAATATATGACTGAAAATTCACACAGAAGCTTGAGGATACTAGTTAATTTTGAGGAGTAAGTCTGTCCTAATAGGGGGTATCAGAGATATCCCATATGGTGTAAACTCAGACCTCTTGTTCTGGAGGGATAGAACAATGATATCTATCGATAGTTCAAATAGCTACTCTTCCATGTGATCTGAGGCAAGACTCTCGTGGGCTTTAGCATCCAAATCTGTCAAACGAAGAGAATGACCTACCTCTTCATCTTTTAAAAAATAAAAAGTTCTTAAAAGGTTATTAAGACCACCTTTTACATCTAGAATGGGTGCCACGCACACACACAAACCCACAGGGCAGCAAAGTCAACTTTACCATAACTATTTCTATTTTTTATAAAATTTCACACCTCGTGGGTGTTGCTCAGTGGTTGAACATCGACCTATGAACTAGGAAGTCATGGTTCGATTCCTGATCAGGGCACATGCCCAGGTTGTGGGCTTAATCCCCAGCGAAGTGGATGCAGGAGGCAGGCGATCAATGATTCCCTCTCATCACTGATGTTTCCATTTCTCTCTCCCTCTCCCTTCCTCTCTGAAATCAATAAGAGCCGAAACCGGTTTGGCTCAATGAATAGAGCGTCGGTTTGGGGACTGAAGGGTCCCGGGTTTGATTCCGGTCAAGGGCATTTACCTTGGTTGCAGGCATATCCCCAGTAGGGGGTGTGCAAGAGGCAGCTGATCGATGACTCTCTCTCATCGATGTTTCTAACTCTCTATCTCTCTCCCTTACTCTCTGTAAAAAATCAATAAAATATATTAATAAATAAATAAATAAATAAAATAAATAAGAATATTAAAAGGAAAAAAAAGATTTTACAATCTTCCTTAGTCACTCATTTTAGTGAGGCCCTACAAGCTTGATTGCCAAGCTCTTCCATTGAGAAAAAAAATAAAGCTGCTTCTCTAACATGATTTCCTCTTCTGGCTAATTAAAACAACCACAAGAGTTTGGGCTGTCAGCTACTTCTCTCTCCTTCCTGTTCCTCCTCAGTGCTCACAGCAAACAGAATCTCACCTTCCCAGGGTCATCTCGGGGCCTGGGCACCTTCCGGAAGCACTTGTTGAGAGAAAGGTTGTGCCGAATTGAGTTCTGGGAAAGCACAGAAACCAGTTAGATTTGAGCATTGTGCAAAGCAGAGCATTTTCCAATCAACAGGATACACAGGGACACCAAAGGACATAACACAAAACAAAGTTCAAGTGTCAGAGTAAACGCGGCATCTCTCATCTTTACTGATGAAGGAGCACACCTAACAGATGGCAAGAACAATGAACTAAGAAAAAAATGCAGAAATTATATGGATGAGCAGTGTTGGCTATAAATGTGGCTACCAGGTGCTTCTGGAAAGCTGTTTATGTAGTTTTTCAATCTTCCCACCCAATTGATGATAAGTATATATGAATGCCTCAAAATCATATCTGCCCAATTTCCATACCATTCTATCTATAGTTAAAAAAAAAAAAAAGTTTAGCCTTTGCCAGTTTGGCTCAGTAGATAAAGTGTTGGCCTGTGGATTAAAGGGTCCTAGGATCAATTCTGGGCAATAGCTCGTACCTCGGTTGTAAGCTAGAAAGAACTCTGGCCCTGCTTGGAGCATGAGCAAGGCAATCAATCAATGTGTCTCTCTCATATCAATGTCTCTCTCTCTCTCTCTCTCTCTCCTTCATACCCTTCCACTGTCTCTAAAAATTAATGGAAAATATCCTCAGGTGAAGATTAACAACAAAAACTGTTTACAAACAGTTTTAAAACTGTTTCTATTCATGATAACAAATACAAGTTATGAGTAAAACAAAGGCACAGTTCACCTTTGTTTTCTCAATAGCCCATAGATGGGACACATCTGAAGGAAAAAAATATTGCCGTGTAAATGTGTCGGAGATTTGGTAACTAGTAGGGGCATATGCGTAAAGGAAAAGAAAAACTGAATGCTTTCAACAGTCTTCAGCTCATCATCTGGTTTGTATATCAACTGGTGATTCATACAGGGCGAGAACTCCATTAAAACCCCATTCTGCTCTGCAGTGGCCAAATGAACTGGTACTCCAAAGGACGGAGACCATCCATCTTCCTTCCTAGCTCGGAAGAGGAGTCCCCTTCTTTTTTTAATCTCCAGCCAAGTGACTTATCCTCTCATTACTTGCTTGGTCGATGAGCTGTTGGTAAAGGACCTAATTATATATTTTTTCCTGGTGTACAGTTTTTAAAAAGATGATGACTCTGTGCAATGAAGCTTTGGAAATGTGATGGGATTCCTACGACCACGTAGGAAGAAGCAGTGCTGTCCCCTGCACAGTGACTTGAACACAGTGGAGTGGCAATAAATACCTGTGAAATGAGTGGATATTCTTTTTGAGGAATGAGAAGATAAGAGGGAATAATGAGTAACAACAACATCCTACTAGCCCCGCAACTATACTTAGAGGCTCAGTATCACTGGCGTTTCCCTGATGTAGCTGATGGAAGTAAATGCCACATGTCTGAGGCAGGTCAGTCAATTGGGCCAGATTAAAAAAAAAAAAAAAAAAAGTAGGGAGGAAAAAATAGTTGTCAAAGGCTGAAAATAACCGCTGGTTATAGAAGCCATCCCACCTTCCAACCGATGCCAGCGTTCTTGTAATAGGGGAAGTTGTCGCAGATCCAGCGGTAGATCTCGCTGAGGGTCATCTTCTTGGCCGGGGAGGAGTTGATGGCGTAGGTGATGAGGGTGGCGTAGCTGTAGCGTGGCTTGCCATCCTGGTGGACTGCCGCCTCATCTTTGCTCAGCGTGGCGTTAGGGTCTGTGGGTGAGCCTGGCGGACACTTGCGGCTGCCCCCCGGCGTGCCGGCCTGGGAAGCACTCCCCAGCTTCTCGATGGTAGCCCGGAGGGTCAGCTGGGGGAGCCAGTCTATGGAGGTGAGGCTGCTCTCCAGATCAGAAGCCATGGCTCTTCTGGGTTCTGCAGAGAAATGGACAAAGGAAACGGAAAAATGAGTGTTACCTCTGGTGACAGGTGGCAGGTAATACCCAAATCCTAGTGCTTGAAAGAAGGTAGCTTCTTTTTTCTACAATCCCCTCAGTTAACTTCTCTGAGAGACAGCCCTCCACGTGGTCCTAGAACCCAAATGCATCTATCACCAATCATCTACCAGATGACAGACCGGCTGGCACTTACTCTACATTTGAATGTGGAACATAACCTAGAAGTCTCCCCCTTCATGTAGGGCTAAAAGTGAGATCAAACCACCCAACTGAGCTATCCCCTCTGTTCTCCTTACTGAAAACCCTACAACATAATATCTTTAAAGTATGTACAAAATAATTTTTTAATATATTTTTTATTGATTTTTTTACAGAGAGGAAGAGAGAGGAATAGAGAGTGAGAAACATCGATGAGAGAGAATCATCGATCAGCTGCCTCCTGTACACCCCCTACTGGGGATGTGCCTGCAACCAAGGTAGATGCCCTTGACCGGAATCGAACCCAGGACCCTTCAGTCCGCAGGCCAATGCTCTAGCCACTGAGCCAAACCGGTTTCAGCTGTACAAAATAATTTTTTTTTAAATATACTTAAGATAGCAGGAAACATCTGCCAAAGTCTATTCTTCAATTATGTGACACTTGCTGTAATTTACATACAACATATACCGACAGCACAAGTGAGCATGTGAAGAAAAACACTCTAAACAGAAATATACACCGATGAAGCATACACCAACGCCAGAAAGAGCGAGCATCGGCCCCTTTTAGCCCACATACATGTGCATGAGGCATATCAAATATATACCAAGCGTACATTACATACGACTACCACCAGCAAAGGACAGATGTAAGACAGACACGTAAACAGCGATCACGATTAGCTATACCGCATACCTTACCAACACAAAGTCACACGCCCAGAGCGGTAACAGCTCCTGAGCTCTGCTGCCCTCGCACCTTGAAAGCTACCCCTTCTGCAGGCTCGGCCCACAGACACCTCCACCAGGAGGAAGTCATCAGCAGGGACCTCCCACCTCTCTCGGCCTGCTGGGCTTCACTAAGCCAAGGGAGACACCCAGCTGGGTGCACACCGCTAACAATCAGATAGCCTGGCTAAAAATAGCCACTCTGGGGCTAAGAACTGGCTCCCCTTCTCCCGCCCCCCCCTCCTCCTCCTCTCTCCTTCCTTCCCAGCCAGGCACGCACGCTCGCTCGCTGCACCTTCATGCAAACTTCTTGGCGCTGCCAAACCGCCCACGCCTGCTGTGTGCACGCCCAGCTGCCACCCACACAGCCTGGGCGCTCTCCCTGGCAGGGAGGTGTAGCTAGAGTGACACCTTCTCCGTGGGGGAAGGAGGCGAACGGTGGGGGACATCTGTGTCGCAGGGTCTAGCAAGGCCGGCAGGAACCACGTGGTAGCCATTTGGCAACTCCCCTAGAGCTGGTGCCAGCAACCCCCTAAGCACTTGCTGCCTGACAGGTTTGTGCCTGCACAGCCTCCAGATTCCAACTAGTATTTCTTCCTCCCTGTCCCTGCAGACAGCCCCGCCAGGGCATTTCTCTAGCACGCCTCGGATTTCAGAATCCTGGACAGAAACGCATTATGTGTGCGTGATCTCTTAAATCCACGCACAGATACTGGGCACACGCGCATACGTACAACTACACGCAAGTCCACACACTTTGGCCATGCAGAGCTCAGTCCTAGCTATAGCTGCCTCCCTCTCTCCCGATTCCAACCCCTCTTCCAGGCTATCCGTCGCTCTTCTTGGTCAGCGACTCCCGCCCCTCCTCTCCCCCTTGACACTCACTCCTTTCTCCTAAACGTCAGCATTCGTGGTCCTCTCTCCCCCCTGCAAGGTCCCCACCTACACCGTCTTTGCACATACACACCAGCACCCAGCCCTGAGCTCGTCACCAGCAGCACGCCTACTCTACAAGGATGAAGGAAACACCTTAGTGCCTCAGGGGCCCAGGCAGCCAGAGATCCAATTGCATCCCAAGCATTGCTTGACAAGAGAAGGGGATTGGGGGGGGGGGGGGGGGGGGTAGCAGAGGGGGGGGAAATCACGTTTATAAACAGTTTTATAGAGGGGTTTTCCTTTTATTCCTATCTTCTCTCCCACCACCCACAGAAACTTAGACACTTATAGGGATAATGAATCATCCCAGGAAGTCTCAGACCTCCTGGCACTACCCTAAATCAGAGCACCACAGCCCCTGTGGTAATGCAGGGCTGTTTGGGCAGTAACCGAGTCCCATGGCCGGCTTATCCCAGCTGGGCAATAGTAGGACAATGAGCAGGTTCCTGGTGACCACAGGGGAGGTCTGTGAAGAAAGTCTATCCTACCCCCTAGGACTTCCTGCTAAAGATCCCGAGGAAATCTCAAGCCTTTAGTGGATATTTCATTTGAAACTCGCCCCCCACATTGGACAGGAGCATGAGGGTAGATGGTCAGAGGGCTTACAGAACCCATTGGGCACATGCCAATCACGGTGACTTCCGGGAAGGGAAGCACTCTCTGCCTGTCGCTGGCTGTTCTGCGCCCTTCCCTATCCTTACCCCGGCACCAGGTTTAGGACACGGGGGTTAACTTTAACCTTTCTCCAGCACCCTTTCTCCCGGTCAGCCCTCCAGATATGCCCCAGCACTCAAAATATATTCCAGTCTCATCAGCTGCAAGAAGCTTGCTGCAAAAGGTCCTCCGATCTTCCAGCACCATTCGCCTTCACCACCCATTCCACTTCCTCACTCCCGTCACTTCCCCATTCCTGAAGGGCAACCCAGTGTGAAAAAGCTCAGACGCAGCGGAGGTTCCTGTGTTCCATCCCCAACCTTGACACTGACTCAGTAAACATCCCTAACCACCCCTTGCTCCCTGAAGTGCCGATGCCTCAGTTTCCCCTGCTAATAAGAGGGACGAGGTCCTACACACTGCCGAGGCTTCCTCCCCTGGAGGGAAGTGAATGAAGCTTAATGAGCTCGTGGCTGCCACACATTCCACACTCCCCAAAATAATGGCATGAGGCTGGCGTGCAGGGCTATTATTAGAAAGGCAAACAAGAGGTACTTCCATTTCTCAGTCCAACCAACCTAGTTCCCCAGACCTCTCTCTCCAGGTGGGCCTCGTGCCACTGGGCTCGGGCAGAACCTGAGTCAGGCCACATTCTTCTCCGCGTGCTGGAAGACTGAAAGGAAATATCCATAGAAACTGGGAAAGGCAGCCAAAGGGCAGGCTCCATCACATCCACAGGGTGTCTAAGGAAGACTACAGTGCGGGGAGAGAGGCAGAGGAAAACAGAAAGACGTTCTGTTGGAGTGGAAGGCTGAATTCTGGATGAGACATGTAAGACCCAAAATTACAGGCACGGTTTTCTTCCCATTTTATCTGCAAGGCCAGTAATTATTCTCCGTATGGTGCCAAGGCCAGGCATTAAGGAGCGATCGTTTCCTGCTTTGCACATAATAGAGCAATGGCCAAGTTAACCACATTACCAATTACCAGTGGGCTGCCTGGACTTCAGTCCCCGACTCCACTACCTACTGGCCTTGCAACCTCAGGCAAGTTACTTAACCTCTGTGTGTTGTAGTTTCTGCATCTGTAAATTAAAGATAACTATACCTACATAGGGTTGTTGTGAAGATTACCTTAATACTTTTTTTTAAATTAACTTTATTGTTGAAAGTGTGACAGATGTCCCCCTTTCCCCCCCCCCCCATTGACTCCCTGCACCCCGCTCCTGTCCCCTCCCCAGGTACCTTAATAACTTAAAGCACTTAGTAAGTGTAACTATTGTTTTTTTTTCTGAATGGGGGAAAAAGAACATTAGACATTAAAAGTTAGAAAATTGACAGATCATAGAGGTAAGACTGGGAGCAGAAAGCCGGCGATGGTTTATACTGCAAAGCCTGCACACTGAGTTTGCAATCATTCGCAGGATGTCAGAATCTCAAGCTTTTTTTTTTTTTTTTTTTTGGGGGGGGGGGGGGCAGGGGAAGGGAGAGATAGTATTCCTGATCAATGTCAGGACTGAGCAAACTCCGGGGATGAAGGAATGGGAGAATGTCATCTCTTATTTTTCAGTGGGGGGAAGGGGGCGGGGCGGGAAGAAGGGGTTGGCCTAGGTCTGGCCATAAGACATGACCCGGAAAACAGCACTCTCTAAATCACAGTCCGCTCAGCCCAGAACCATGTGCTTCTGACTAACTCCACAGAGGCAGGGACTGGAACACTCGGAGCAAGCAGGGCCTGGGCAGCCGTGTGGTGGTGGTACACCTGGAGGTGTTACCATTCAACAAGTTGCATTCCAGCATCTGGTAAAGTACTTTGGAAGAAATAAACTGCTGTTACACCAGAGCCGTTTTTCAAAAGTCAGGACAGGAGTTCCAAGACTAAGAGCCGAAAGGTCCTCATGCTCTTGAGCCTAGAGACACCAGGAATGAAGCTCTCTTGTTAGTCCTACAGAGGCGATCCCAGCCTGAGGCTGGGCAGCCCTGCTGCTGGGGATGCAGCCCAGCCTTTCCTTCCAGCCGGGCATCCTCACCAGAACCCTCCCCAGGTCGCTGCACAGGGGGGACCTGCTTTCAGAGCCTTCTGGAAACATACAATTCTAGGTCTGAAACGCACACCTGTACCTGTCTCCAGAAACATACCCACTTGAAACACAGACAGAGGTCAGATGGAGCCACACTCACCGGAATGAAGAAACATAGGCGCCACATTGTTCTAACGCACAGCCATACAACCCTGGGTTGTGGCTCTGTCTCCTCCACTCCTACATGGCACGACTGACAGGTGGACTCCGGGTCCAAGTGGATGCATGTAGGGACTCAGACAGCCCATCCATGGGCCAAAGAGAGAAAGAGGAAACACAAAAACCCAAAGCGGCAAAGCCTCCCACCTGGCCGTGCCATGGGCTGCAATGCCCCTGACAGAAGACATTCCCTAGTGACGAGGCAAG